CCTCTTTGAAATCAATAAAAACATATTTTTTAAAAAAAGAAAAGAAAGGCAGTTTACTTTCCCAGTTACTGGGACCAGAGAACAGCACAGCCTTGAAGCAGGGGGCAGAGATAATGTCAAACATGAGAAAGGTAGAATTTCAGGTAGGGTGGCCAGAGATGACCTCTCTGAAACCCAGTCAAAACTCAAGAACACCCCCCTTCTCTGAGAAGCATTTGCTGGGTCTTTGGGGGCTTTATTCCAAAATTCAAACAGGAGCTCTAGGAAGGGCCTCTGGAGCCTGCCTATGAAGAACGGTGCAAACCTGCAGCTCCCAGCACTATCTGTCCTGCAAGAAGGCAGCATGCATGCTCCTGGGGGGAGGGGGGTGTCAGGGCCAGCTCTTCCTCACAACCTACAAGACCTGGGCTGGCACCATGAGGAGGTGGTGGGGGTGGGGCAGGAAGAGGTGCAGTTCTGACCTTGACAGCTGGAGAAACAGGGAACTGGAGGATATATACAGACAGTCACGGCACCCTAGGAAGAAGGCAAAATCTGACTTTCCAGATGAGGAAAGTAAGGCCCAGAGAGGGAAAGCAACTTGCCTCAGGACACCCAGCAAACCAGGGCAGAGCCAGAGCTAGAACCCACATTTCCTGCTTCCAGCCTCTTGCAACAGGCCACAATTGTAACAGAGACTTCAACATGATACACACCACCATTCTCTCAGAAAGTCTGTTGCTGCCAGAAGAGGCTATGACAGAGAACAAGAAGATACAAGATGCCCCCTCCACCTTAAAACTGATGACCGACTTTACCTGTAGTTTTATAAAGGGCAGAAATTGTGAGCAAGGAAAACAGCCACGTCAGGGTAGCAGGTTGTGTGTGAAATAGCTTTCCTTTAATTTCCTCTTATTATGCTATAAACTTGACTTAATAATAAAAACATGCTAAGGACTTCTTGATGTGTAATTGCTTATAATATTAAAAATGATGGGAAAATGCTTTCAATTAATATGTATGTGAATCATCCTGTGAGATGACACTTTGAACAATTTTATAAGGGATGTTGGAGGTGGGGTGTCACACATAAAAAGGGGGTCTAAGTAACTGTAAAATTGCCAGTTATTTCTGCAGACCTTCTGGGAGTACAGGACAGATGTGAGAGTGTTTTAGCTGCAGGCTCCAGAGGGTGTGCTTTTCCTGATTATTTAACCTTTCTGTGTCTCAGTATTCCCATCTGTAAAATGGGGCTGAAGGCCTCAGGAGAAAGGATCCTAGTTGAGAATTATTCTGTGTTTTTAGGTGAACTAGGGCTTTATGATCCAATTAATCTTTAGAAGCTCTTGCCCCATCATTATCATTATGTTTTTTCTATCATTATCCTATCCTATCAAAAGCCTCATCTCTGGCTTCTTCTCTCCAGCAAAAAGATCCCACACCTCGTGCGTTTGCTCAAGCTCTTCCCTCTGCCTGGGTTGCTAGATCCAGCTCTCATCACCACTGCCGCCTCGACCCCCGCCCCCACCCCCACCCCATTTGCAAACTCTGAATTTCTGGAGATTCTCCTGCTCACCTCCATGTACCTGGATCCAAGCCTGTCACCCTGCTTTATGGAAGTTCCTGGGGGCAATGGCAGTGTCTTCCCAGGTTACATATCTAGTCTCTAACACAACAGGTTGCAGCAAGGGCTCCAGGGCAGCTGCCCAGGTGCACTGCAGAGGGCCTGAGGACCACCTGCTCCACTGTCCTGTTGTTTTGGCCACCCACCTCCAGGTAGCCAGGGCCTGGTCAGAGAATTCGATAACACCCAATTCCAAGTAAAGGACCAACAAAGCCCTCTGCTCCCCAATAACAACAATCTCATGCACATGTGCAAAGCTTGCTCGTTGCCCTGGCTGGTTTTGCTCAATGGCTAGAGCTTTGCCCTGTGGACTGAAGGATCCCAGGTTCGATTCCAGCCAAGGGCACATGCCCGGGGTTGTGGGCTCGATCCCCAGTAGGGGGAATGCAGGAGGCAGCTGATCAATGATTCTCTCTTATCATTGTTTCTCTCTCTCTCTCTCTCCCCCTCCCTTCCTCTCTGAAATCAATCCTATCTAACAATAAACAAACATGGTAATTGACCATGCCTTCGCTACGCCTCCCATGGGCTAATCAGCACGATATGCAAATTAACCGCCAACAAAGATGGTGGTTAATTTGCATACGTAGGCTCCAGCTGTGGAGCAACGAGGCCTGATGTTTCTGGGGCTGGTGGAGCAGCGAGGCCTGATGTCTCTGGGGCCGTTGGAGCAGCGAGGCCTCACTGCTCTGGGGCCAGTGGAGCAGCGAGGCCTGACGTTTCTGGGGCCGGTGGAGCAGCGAGGCCTGATGTTTCCTGGCCTGGCTCCGGCCAGAACTCGGCCAGAGCGAGGGCCTGGGCTGCGGGTGCCAGAGGCAAACCAGTGCCAGCAGCCAGGGGAAAGGAAGGCCTATTGCACGAATCTCTTCATGCAACAGGCCTCTAGTAAAAATATATTTTTAAAAAATCATAAAAAAAAACCCCCACAAAAAACAAAGCTTGCTGGTTCCAGCTGAGGCTATGTCAGTGTTGTGTGCCCTCCTACTTTATAATGAGGACACTGCAGCCCTCAATAGGCTAAGCTTCCTGACCCACCCAGGTATCCACGTTGACCTAAGAGCCCAGCACCCTTCTCACATGTTAGGAGGTCTCTATGCATCTGGGGCCCTTAAGTCTGGGATCAAGATTGGTGTGAAAAGGGAAAGAATGGGGATGCAAGGCATGGCTTTGGAAGGAGGCCACCTGATTCTGCCGGCTCAATCAGAGGTTTGGCTTGGGGATACCAAATACATAGACACTTATACACGAGGAAACTGAGGCCCAGATGGCATGGAAAAGATCAAGACCAGAACCTGACCTCGAGAGATAGGCCAAGCAAGATGAAAAGGTTCACCAGGACTGACTAGCACAAGCCAGGCTGGCAAATGTCCCTTCCCCGCTTCAGCTCCCTGTCCCCATGTTCTGTAGATACTATAGGTCTGAGCCCCTCATTTCTATTTGTGAAACTGAGGGAAGTGACTTGTCCTCAGTTTCCCTCCCCTGTAAAACGAGACAGCATTTTACAGGGAAATGGTGAGGTGTGTATGTCAAAGGGCCCAGGACAGAGCCTGGGAGCCGGCCTCTGATGGCTCCTGCCATTTCCTCGTGTCCCGGATACCCCAGCGTCAAACACAAACACTACACTTCCTCCAGTACTCCACCCCAAAGACTGCCCTGCTAAGGCCAGGCCACACTTGGCAGTCTGCCTCCAACTTACTATGTGTCCTTGGGCAGGTCCCTCTCCTTCCATGGACTCAGTTTCCCTGTCTGTTAAATGAGGCTGTTGGGTTTGGATGACCTTGAAGATCCTTTGCTGACCCTGACATATGAATGTGCTAGCGTCCCAAAGTCACTCCTATAAGCCCGGGCTGATGCCTGCTGGATGCAAGACTGGCCAGAGCTGAAGGGCCAGAGCTCTCCACGGCCCTGCCACAGAGCTGGCGTTTCACTGAGCCCAGCGGGGGTGTACATGGGAGGTGAAAGGATATGACAGCAGGATCGGGTGTTACTGCAGTGCTGAGCTGAAGACTCCACCAGTAGACCCAGTTTCCTGAGTCTCTGGAGACTCCCTCAGGACCCTAGGAGGGTCCACTAAAATGCACAAGCAGCTCTCTGCCTCTTGCCCCACAGAGGCCCCTTTGCCAGGAGAGATGAGGAAGATGGGAGTGAGTGTGAGGGGTGGCCCTCTAGGAGTGTGGCCTAAGTCCTGCTGGTCAATTACTCCCTGGCCCTTCACAGGGTGGCCTGGCACTCTGGGGGATACACTGGAGGCTACAGAATCGCTTTCCACGAACAGTAGAAGCACAAGGAAGAGTCCTGGAAGCAGGGCCTGGACTCGCACCCAGGTCCTTCAGCAGTTGTCCTACAGTCTCCATAGGCCCACGACCTTCTATTCTGCACAGGCCCCACATACACTAAGTGCTCCGTAAATGTCGCTTCCTTTCCCTTCCCTCTTCTAACTCAGGAGGAATAATGCGAAAGGCCTCAAAGACGACATGAACACCAAACAAGAGGGCCACAGAGGGAGGCATCTGTATCCCAAACCCCAGACATACAGAACACCAATTCACTAGGCCTCAAAATTAGGGGTGGCTCCCAACCTGCTCTAATCCTCACAGGTGCTCCTCTGTCTCTGGACTGCCCTCTGGGCCAGGAGGACATATGTGGGGGCTTCTCCTCTGCCTGAGATCTCCCCGCCAGCCAGTCTGTGAGGGCTGACAACCACCTGTCTGTGGTTCCTTCTCTTAGATGCTCTGGGCACCATCCTGGCTAGACAAGAGGCCCTCAGGATACTGGACGCCTGGCCACATTATTTTGGGCCCCAAGCAATTGCTTTGACAAGGTTTTGTCATTAAGGGCCAATATAAAATAGCCATGGGGGGAATCTGTTACCTATAAACCTACCAGGTAGAGAGCAAGGGCTCTTTAGGCTGTGTCCAGCCCCTAAACAAGGGTTTCCTCATATCTGGACGGGGATCATTTGTCCCCAATGATCTAGTCTGCCCCCTTCTACTAGGTAATGAAAGAAAGTGACCCAGCTTCCTTCTTTTATTGCCCTGGCTGCTAGGAAGCTCCAAGTTAAGCTTTTTATCTCAACTGCTGTATCTTTCTTCAGTCAGAAATTCCCAGTAGAACTTACCCCTCTTCTCTCCAGTTACTTCTCTGTCCCTATCTTGGTTACTGTACTTGGTACCCTAGTGTCTGGACTTTCACTGTGCCCTGCCAGGTTCTTCCTGATGTAGGTGAACATGAACTGGGAGATTGTGGTGAAGATTAAACACACTGCAGCCTCCCAACCACCACCTTGAAAGCAAAAACCTCCCCCTGCTGAGGCTGGCTGGGGACCATCCATGTGTCCAGGAATGGGCTCTCTGCCTCCCAGCCGAGCTCAAGTCCTTGTCCCAACTGCTCTGCTTACCTGTCATGATCCTCTGGGCCTCGTAGGGCTCCATGTAGCCAGCACTCTCCCCCTTTCCCGCTTTACTCTTGAGATCATTCTTGGCATCAAAGGGATCTGAGTAGTCATCAGCGATAATCACCTGCAGGGAAGAAGATGCAAGGGTGAGTCCACCTTTGGCTTTCTGCTTCACGGCCAGGCTCTGCTCCAACACACACAAACTGAGCCTGCACCACACCAGCAAGGAGGCGCGGGGGGGAGGCAGGAACCAGAGCTGCTGCTTACCCTCAGGAAGCTCCAATTCTTGCAGGGGTGACAAAGGGACCCTCACTGGCAGTGCTCCATCACAAGAGAGGGGCCTGAGCCTGTACATGCAGCATGGCCGGCTCTGGGCGAGGTCAAGTGAGAACAGAAGGGCAACTGGGCAGAGAAGCACAGAGGCAAGAACCTGGAGGTGTCTTTGGGAATGTGAATTGCTCAATTTAATGGAATGGAAATGGAAGAAAGTTGGAAAGGAGACTGCAGAAGCCTGGAAAAGCTGACAAGTTCCTGGTGCTGGCTGAGGCATAGAAGAGCTTGTGTAGAGATAATTATGATCAGCGTTCCATTTCCCCCAAATCTGGAACACAACCACGCCTTGGGTAATCAGACAACAATTTGGTGAGATCAACGAACTGTAAAGATGACTGTGGCCCCAGACGGACCCAATGAAAACACAAAAGCAGCTCAGGATGGACAGATGGACTGCTGGGGCCAGAAAGGGCCTTGGAAGCAACACATGGAAAGACCTGCTGTAACAGATGGGGAAGCTGAGGTCCAGTGGAGGATGGGGCTAGACTAAGATCCTTGGGCAGACCCTCTGCTCCCAGGGCCCTTCCTGGCCTCCTCACTTGTCTATATTTCAGAAAATAGCAAAGTTTTACAACAAATGGACAGTCACCTGGCGGTAGACAGTGTGGGCGGGGTGGGGGTGGGGTTACCCCATGAGATGGTGAGCATCTGGGATATGAACACTTCAGAGACCAAGCTCCACATTTTCCCTGGAGAAGGGTAAAAAAATCTCAGTTGGAGGCTAGGTGTAAACACGACAACTTTCCTTCCCATTTCTTACTTCCTAACCTTCTTGAGTATCACACTTATCAAAGGGGAAAGGACAGGAACCCACCAAACAGATTCCCTTTTAACACATCTAGCTCCACCAAAAATCCACTGTGACTTCCATCATTATCTATCCCTTTGGTCACACATCTGGCAAAGGGCAGGTTCCTCAACCTCCCAGCCAGGGCCACCCAGCTGCCTCTTTTGGGAGGGGGTAGGTTAGCATTTCTCTCAACCCTGGGGTAACATGAATTGTTATTTAAATTGTGGGTTTAATTAGAAACCACAGGAGCCTCCTCTCTCTCCTAGCTCCTGGAATGTAAGGCATTTGAGGGGCCTAAAAACCCAGGGGAAGGGAAAATCCCCCTTTGTCTGCCCTGCGAATGGCAGCTTGTGGCAGCAGCCCTGGCAGGGTGAACAAGTGACCTCCAGCTGCCCGGAATGTGATGCCAGAGGAGGGACAGCGGGCAGCGGCCCTGTCACTGGCATGCAGCCGGGGGCCAATGGGAGGCAGAGCACTCAGCGGTCCAGCTCTTCCGTGAAAAAACCCAAGGCTGGAGCGCCCACCATCTGAGCATGTGTGCCCCCCGCTGTCTGCCCCCTGCTGCCTCCTCCAGGGGTCAGGCTCTGAGTCCCAGCGGGGGCCCTTCCAGATGCTGACATGGTAATCGCGGCCTCTTTTGAGACTCACTGAGCTCAAATGACACCAGGCAGGGGAAAGACAGGGGGGTGGGGGAGAGCTGGGTCAGGCAATGTCTTTCATTTGATATTTCTATTTTACCCTTTGCAGAACACACCAGGGAGAAAATTATGCATGTGAACCACTGTCTAACAGAGCAGCTCAGACGCTGCTGATCTAGTGTAGGGTTTTGTGTCTCAAGAGGTGAGAAGTCCAAATGGAGAAAATGATGAAGCTGCTGCGGCTGACATCTAATCTTAGGTCTCCCGCTCCGGCCTTCCTTCCTGTCTCTTTTCAGCATGAACATCCTCCATCTATTCTGCAATGAGGAAGGGAGCAAATATTTCCCAGAGAAAACAAAATCATTTGTGGAGGGATTAGCTGAAGAGGTAGACAGGGGAGGAAGCTGGGCTGCAGTCTCTGTAATCTAGAAATCAACATCCCAGCTCCTCTCCGAAGTGCTCTGTAATTTACAAACATGGAGGTTTGCAGGATATAAACCAAATCTTTGTTGTCATGGAGGTTTGCAGGATATAAACCAAATCTTTGTTAGCCTTGGGACGGGAACTCTGGGGGGCCTTTGGTTCAGCAGGCACTATCTGTACTTTCTAATTAAAATGAGATCTGAGCTTGGGCTGTCACTGGCCCCCAACTGCCTGCCTTGCTTACTTCCGTTTCAATAAGAACTTACAAATCCTAAAACCAGGAAAAGCCCCTGCTCTCTGCTAACATGTGGTTCCAGTTATACCTGCTGACAGTTGAAAATCCTTCCGTTTAAAAAAAAGGTTTAGAATTCTGTTAGTTTAAGAAGCAAATCGGAAGGTTCCTAAAATGTATATTTAATCAACTTGCTTTCGAACTTCAAAGTGAGGTGGGTGGAGGGGAGGGAATTTGAGGTTTGAGCAACCTGAAACTAGGCAAACACTTACTGAGCTGTCTGACCTTTTGCAAAATCATGTCCTGGTTTTGGCGAGTAAAAATTTAACCAGGTGTTAGGAGAGTTGAGTGGGCAGTTAGCCAGAGTGAGGTGTGCTGTGCCACAGGCCCCAGCCACATGCACCGGGCAGTGCGGTCACTGTCTCAGCTGCCCAGGGCTCACTGTAAATCAAGATGGCCAGCAAGAGGCTTGAGTGAAGGCTGTTAAAAAAAAAGAAGAGAATAAGTTTCCCCAGATGTGGGCTTGGAGTCCTGCTGGGATTGCTTTTGCCCCAGTTAGCAGACAAGTCCTTCAAATCTAATTGAACAATTCAACTAAAAGGAAGACAGCAGGGACTTCTCAGCAGATTAGGCCATCTGGGCACTTGAGATGCTTTCCTTGATTTTGCTCTTGGATTGGCAAAGACCTGAGAGGGCATCAGACTTCTTCACCTGGCCTGCTCGTGGTTTCATGGGGCAAGGGCAAAGCTGAGAGGGGGACCCAGGCTACTGGTCTCACCACTTCTTTATGGAAATGAGCAGCAGTAGAAAGACAAGGGTTATGGCCCTGTCCGGGTAGCTCAGTCGGTTAGAGCGTTGTCCCAATACACCACGGTTGCAGGTTTGACCCCCGCCCCCTCCGCCTCCCCATCAGGGCACATACAAGAATCAACCAATGAATGCATAAATAAGTCGATCAAATTGATGCTTCTCTCTAAAGTCAGTTTACAGAAAGACAAGGGTTATGGCTAAACCCCAGGCAAGTCTCTTCTTGCTTTCAAACAAAACTAGAGACCCCAGGTCAGCCCGGTGCCCTTAAAGGACTTTCACAGGCTCATAAAGCAGTGAAACTGGGTGTCCTTGAGAGACCTGCCCCACAATCCCCTTCTTCTGCATAAGGCCCAGGGCAGCCCAGAAGTGGCAGACCAGCCCTGCGCACCACCTCTCTGATACGGCTCTGGGAGTCAGCTCTGCATTCCTCCTTTCTGTTTTGCACACACTGCTCACTCCTTTCCGTCAGTCTGGGGCCAGGGTGTTTTTATCGTGGGGACTAAGCGTTGTGATAGGAAGCAGTCTTCCTGTTCATCCCCAAAAGGAAGTACCAGAGAAAGACGGGTGTTGCCACTTGGCAACATGTCCATATGCTTTTGCAAGATAGCTGCACCTGGTGGAGAGCTGGTCCTCTCCACGGGCTCTTGGGGGAAAGGTAAACTGGGAGCCACTTTGAAAGATAACCGTTGACACTATTCATTAAAATCCAGAATATTCATGGGTTAGCCCAGCAACTTCACTTAATATTTATTCCCAAATGTACACAAGGAGGCATGGACCAAGATGCTCATTGGAGCAAGTAATAATGAGAACTTGCTATATCCTACTCTGTCTACCCATGGGGGGTTGCTAAATCCTGCTAGTTCCATGCTATGGAGTATAATGCAGCAGGTTAAAAACAAACAAACATGAACACAGTTCTCCAAGGCATAGCTTGGAATAAAAGGAAAGCACGTTGTAGAATGAGAGATACAACCTGGTATCTATTTAGGAAAAATAAAACAGAAACCTGTATCTCTATTTAATGTAAAGAAAAGGTCTGGGGAGATACATACTTCTCACTGACACCTCCTGCGGGGGAGGTAACTGGGATTGGGGTGGTTACTGGAAATCAAAGGAGGCGTGTCTGTAATGTTAACACATTTTCAAACAAGGAAAACTTATTGATGTATTATACGCAAAAGTAAACTTTTTAAAAAAGCACCCCTCTTCACAGGCTATTTTTGGTACAGCAGATAAACTGTTTCCCAAACTTGCCTGAAGCTAGGAATGGCTTGGAATGCTTGTTAAAAAAACAGATACCTACCCCCCAATAATGTGTATATTTAATAAGCAACCCAGGTGATTTTTATCAGGAAAGTTTGGAAAATGGTAAGCTAGAGCCAGACCCCCTCCCCCACCAATCTAATGCAAAGCCTTCAGATATTACTCTGGATTTTCACTTTTCTCAGATATTTCTCGGTCCTGTTCATCAAAGTGAAGCAAGAAGTGGGTGTTAAAGGCAGCTCTCTCTTGCTTTCTTTCCCTGGGAATCAACTGGAGTAAGAGATGATCCAACATGCCTTGGTCCATCTCCAGAATCCAAGACGTAGAGGTAATGGCATCCTCTGTGCAATCTGAGGGCTGGCCCCACATTGAGCAATAGAGCTGTGTGTGGGGAGAGGGCCACACAAGCAAGACCCTGCCCTGCCCAGTGAGGGGAGCCTGGACCCACGGCTAATCTGGCTATGAGGATGTGCAAAGCTGTCTGCTCTAAAGCACAGACTCACCCTTTCAGGGCAACTCTACATGGCTCTCAGCACACTCTCAGAACAATCCCTGGCTCCAGAAAGGGCTGGTGGGGCTGTGGAGGAGGCACTGCTGAAATGCACGGGCATCCCTGCTAAAAATCATTCGCA